AAGAGTCTCGCCGACTTTGAGGGTTTCCTTGTCGAGTTGGGCGCCGTCGTAGGCCGCTATCACCCTCGTCCCGTTCTGGTGCTCGGGGATCTCAACGCCAAGTCATCGGCGTGGGGATCTCCGGTCACTGACCCTCGGGGCGAGGTGTTAGAAGAGTGGACGGTGACGACTGGTCTGGTCGTCCTGAATCGGGGTTCGGAATACACGTGCGTGCGGCAGCGGGGTGGGTCGATAGTGAACGTCTCGTTTGCTAGCCCCTCTGTCGCCAGCCGAGTCCGCGACTGGCGTGTCGCCGCAGAGGTGGAGTCGCTGTCGGACCATCGGTATATCCGGTTCGACGTCTCTGCCCAGACTGCGAGCGGCCGCCATCCAACAACCCCGATTAACGACGGCCCGCGTAGGGCGCTTAAGCGCATCGACAGGGAACTACTCGAGGAAGCTGCCCTAGTCCAGTCCTGGATCCGGGAGTCGACGACGGACGGCCCCGTCGACGTCGAAGCGGTGGCGCTATGGTTTCGCGGGGCGATGACGCAGATCTGCGACGCGTCCATGCCCCGTGTCCGCCAACGGTCCGCTAGGCGCCAGGTGTACTGGTAGACCGCCGAGATCGCGCAATTGCGCATAGCGTGCGTTGCGGCTCGTCGCCGGTACACCCGATACCGGAGGCGGCGTCGACGGGATCCCGCCGAGGAGGACGCGCTGTATGAGGTGTACCGTGCGTCTAAGGAGACTCTGTGGCTGGCCATCGGGGACTCAAAGTCGCGTGCCAGGGAAAAGCTGCTGGGGTCCCTAGATCGAGATCCGTGGGGGCGCCCCTACCGTTGGGTACGGGGCAAGTTGCGTCCCTGGGCGCCTCCACTAACACAAACGATGCAACCCCAGTCTCTAGAGGCGGTGGTATCGGCTCTCTTCCCTAAACGAGTGGGTCACGTTCCCCCGGCGATGGCTTCGCCCTCAGCCACAGATTCTCCAGAAGAGGAGAGCACCGATGTCCCCGAGGTGACGCAAACAGAGACGAAAGCGGCCGTGTCGCGACTCCGGGCTAAGAACACAGCGCCCGGACCCGACGGAGTTCCTGGTCGAGCTCTCGTCCTGGCCCTGAAGGAGCTAGAGCCCCAGCTGAGAGGGCTCTTCACGGCATGTCTCGAGCAGGGTCAGTTTCCCAGTGTGTGGAAGGAGGGGAGGCTGGTCCTGCTCAGGAAGGAGGGGCGCCCCGCGGACTCACCGTCCGCGTACCGGCCCATAGTGCTGCTCGACGAGGCGGGCAAACTTCTTGAGCGCATCATCGCAGATCGCCTCGTCAGCCACTTGTGCAGAGAGGGGCCGGACCTGGACGAGAACCAGTTTGGTTTTCGTCGCGGGCGCTCCACCATAGACGCTATTACGCGCGTGAGGGCCCTGGCGGAGGAGACAGTATCCCGGGGTGGGGTGGTGCTGGCGGTGTCCTTAGACATCTCCAACGCCTTCAACACCCTACCCTGGAGTTGTATTCGGGAGGCGCTGAATTACCATCGCGTGCCTCTCTACCTCCGACGCACAATAGGGGCTTACCTTGAGGAGAGATACGTTACCTATCGGGGACGTGACGGCGCTGGTCGGCGCGTCATGTCGTGCGGTGTTCCGCAGGGATCGGTCTTGGGACCGCTCCTGTGGAACATCGGCTACGACTGGGTGCTGAGAGGTGAACTCCTGTCGGGCGCCGACTTGACGTGTTATGCGGACGACACGCTCGTCACTGCCCGGGGGAGTTCACACAGGGAAGCAGCGTTGGTTGCCACGGCTGCGGTGTCACAAGTGGTGAACCGCATCCGGCGCCTGGGCCTGGAGGTGGCCCTAAATAAGTCGGAGGCCATGGTGTTCCATGGCCCTCGACGTGCGCCGCCGCCGGGTTCACACATCGTGGTCAGCGGGGCCCGGATAGCTGTCGAGTCCACCATGAAGTATCTGGGATTGGTGCTCGACAGCCGATGGGAATTCGGACCCCACTTCCGGCGGCTGGGCCCAAGCTGATGGGTGCAGCGGGCGCGCTATCAACGTTGCTTCCCAACTTGGGGGGCCCGAGCGCCGCCTGTAGGCGGTTGTACGTGGAAATCGTGCGGTCCATGGCCCTGTATGGGGCCCCTGTGTGGGCGATGGACATGACGGCCAGCACTCTCGCCATTCTGCGTAAACCGCAGAGGGCGATGGCCGTCAGAGTCGTCCGCGGATATCGCACGATTTCCTACGAGGCGGCTTGCGTCCTGGCCGAATCCCCGCCCTGGGACCTAGAGGCGAAAGTACTCGCGTCATTATATCGATGGCGTGAGGAAGAGCGGGCACGGGGCTCGAGGCCGGTGCAGCGGCAGATCGCGCTGCGCCGAGAGGAGCTCCGTCAGGTCTTGGTGGCGGAATGGCGGCAAAGGCTTCTGCGCCCTACTGCCGGCCTCGCTACCGTCGAGGTGATCCGGCCAGTACTCGACGACTGGCTCGGGAGAAGGCACGGCTCCCTGTCGTTTAGGGTGACGCAGGTGCTGTCGGGGCATGGCTGCTTCGGCAAGTACCTGCGCCGCATAGACAGGGAGCCGGACGCTCGGTGCCACCACTGCGTCCATTGCGGGGAGGACACGGCGCAACACACGCTCGCCGAGTGTGTAGCTTGGGAGGAGCAGCGCCGTGTCCTCACAAATAAAGTAGGAGGCGATCTTTCGCTGTCGGCCTTAGTGCGGAAGATGGTCGGTAGCGCAGAGTCGTGGGATGCGGTGGTGTCCTTCTGCGAGGACGTGATGTCGCAGAAGGAAACTGCGGAACGGGAAAGGGAGATCTCGACTCCCTTCCCTGGCCGCAGAAGGCGCACCGGGCGCAGGAGAAGGGCGAAAAACGCCCTTTTCCGGCCCCCACAAATGGATCCAGGGGCGAGGGACTTGGGGAAGCCCCCGCCACCCCTACTCGATGGACCCGAGGCGGAGGCGCGCGCGGGTGTCGGCGCGCGCCCCTGAGGCGATACACGGGGTAGTTTAACACCTCACTACCCCGTGCAGGAGACGAGGCCTGGACTGACCGGGCCAGCACTAGTGTGGGGCTGCGGAAGAATTTGGATTCCCGCGGCCCCACGCGCACGTGTGAGGAGACACCGGGGTGGTTTTAGCCGGTAAGAGTCCGGCACGCCCCTCCGCCTTTCCCCAGGCGGAGGTAGTCCATGAGGATTTCCCCCCGTAAAAAAAAAAAAAAGGTTCCCCCCCGAACGGGTTCCCGCCTTGTCGTGGCGGAGGGGCTTAGTAGCCGTGGCTTGGTCAACCGCGGTGAACAAAGAGGAACCCCTTGGCTGGCCCGAGGTGTAGGGCCGGCCCGAGGTGGCCACTCCGAGTGGGCTTGACGAGCCCACTTCGGATGTGTGTTGGTGGGCTGCGGTGAGTGGGGTGCCCGCTCCCTCTACCGCTGCAGCCGAGGTGGAGTCGCGGAGGAAGAGGAGTGTTGGTATTGCGATGCGCCACTCGCCCTATCCTCCGCGACTCAAACGGGGCCGCACCGTTGATGCGGTGGTGGTGGGGCCGCGGGGGGAGAGGAGTGTCGGTATTACGAGGCGCTGCTCTCTCTACCCTCCGCGGCCGAAACTTGGTTGGCGGCGGAACCCGAGACCAGATCCTCCGCTGGGGTCGGGAAAGCGGGCGCTATTAAGCGCTCGACTTTCCTGGCCCCATGGCCTCCGCGTATCGGACTCAGGGGGTCCGATACGCAGGTGGAGTTGGAGGCTGTGGAGAGGGCTAGCTGAACACCTTGCTACCCCGTGCAGGAGACGAGGCCCGGACAGACCGGTCAAGCACTAGTGTGGGTGTACGAGTAAACCCGTACATTTTTATATGTTAGCGTTATTGGAGCGCGGGCTCGTGTTTGACGTCATTTTAATGCATTGTACATATTATGTTTTCTTTTATAATAAACTCAGTACCATTCGCAAGGCGTTACAGTTAACAGTGTTTTATTTTGCAACCTACAATCTCAATATTTGAGTGGTACTCCTTAACAGCATTTAATCTTGCATTGCATTGCATTACATATTTGCATAGTTACACAAACATTTTGGTCCTTCGACTACTACCTTAGTGTTTAGTGTTTTGGTACAGTGGCGAATCGGTTCGTCTGGCCTCCCACAAGCGGGTCTCACCAGTCGAATTGAGAAGGCGCATACATACTGTGCTGAGCACACGAACGCACTAAGTGGACCCGACGCTTGGAAGGTACAGTTCCATCAGTGTTTACTTGCAGCTTACATATTCAATTAATAATTTATTATCATGCAAGCCTTACTGCAGAGACAGTTTGAAATCGTAAACGAGATTAAAAAGCTTAACACCAATTTCAAAAAGGATCCGAAGTCAAGAAAAACTAAGGAATACATAGAGAAGAGGATCAAAGATTTGGATGACCTTTGGCTCGAATTCAAAAGCAACAACGAACAATTATCGACATTAGCAGACAAGACTCACGAATATTTTACAAGGGACATTTTTTTTGTGTATGAACATTTGTACAGCAAAACGCGGGAAATGATGACTATGTATGAATATGAATCAAAGGACGAAACGACAAAGGATAATACCACCCAGGTTGACCTTGAGAAAGCTAAAGAATTGTTAAGTTTGCAGTGAACTAACTTTCGAGCATTTTCGAGAATAACTGAGAACTTAGACATAGAAAACATCGAAGAGAAATGGGAGTTAGAATATGAGTTAAGAAACCTTCAAAATCGTTGGAGCAACATCGAAGAAACTCACTTGAAGATTGACAATGTTGTCGAAGGTTCCGATTTAGAGTATGACAAGGAATATGAGGAAATGGAAGTCAAGCTTAAAAACATGAATAGGTTACTGAACAAAAAAGTAACATCTCAAAACTATGTACACCTAACTACACCAAAAATAGAAATACCTACGTTTTCTGGGAATTATATCCAATGGAGTACATTTTTTGACCTGTTTAAAGAAGCCGTTCACAACAATCCTTCTATGACTAAGGCACAAAAAATGCAGCACTTAAAGGGTAAGCTCAGAGGTGAAGCCGAGCGCCTAATACAACACTTGCATATATCTTCAGAAAACTATGACTCCGCGTGGAAAATATTAGTTCATCGTTATGATAATCAGCAAGTCCCCTTTACGAAGCACATTGAAACTCTTATAAATCAACCTAACATCCAAAAACAATCATCAACAGAACTCAAACGACTCCACGATGTATCAATGGAATGCATTCATGGTGTTTTCAATATGGGGATTGACACTAGCTCTTGGGATCCGATTCTGGTACACCTTGTAGCAAAGAAATTAGATACAACAACGTACAGTGATTATATGGAGTCAAGAAAAGCCCCACGGGAACTACCTGATTTGGATAAGTTTATGGCGTTTATGGAAGCCAAATTTACAGCCCTAGAGCCAATGAATAGAAAAGAGCAGATAGTCGAAACATCGAATTTTAATAAAAATAACCATGTGTCAAAATTCAAACAACGTTATTACCAAAAACCTGCAATTTATGAGAATAGAGATACATCATTTAAAAAATCATTTTATGTAAACTCCAAATTTATACCTACTTGTCCTTTATGCAAACAAAATCACGCATTGTTTCAATGCAAAAGATTCGAAGTCATGACACCTGAAATGAAATTACATACCATTTCGAAACTACACATATGCGAAAACTGTTTATACGTGCATAAATATGAATGCAATTCTGAAAAACGATGCAAAGAGTGCAACTAGAAACATAACACCTTATTGCACGACGTTTATATTACAAAGGCGGCTAATAATGCAAGTTCGGCGAACATGACGACTACGGCCTCGAAGTCGCAGGGCACGAAACCACATGTACAATCGAACCACGTGGCTGGAAATGATGACGAAATATTGCTTGCCACAATCAAGATGCAAGTAAGGGCAGCAGATGGCTCTTACATCACACTGCGCGCACTTCTGGACCAGGGGTCACAAACGTCCCTTATATCCGAAAATGCAGCGCAAAGGTTGGGGCTGAAACGTCAAAACTTCAATGCATCTGTCACCGGTATTGGTACTTTGCCAAGCAAAAGCCGAGGAAAAGTAATATTGCACTGTAAATCATTATCGACCGATTATGCATTCTCTACAGAAGCTTTAATAATGTCCAAAGTTATTAACTGCCTACCCGTGACTTCATTCGAGAACAAAAATTGGCCACACATACAACACTTGCAATTAGCGGATCCTGAATACAATATATCAAAGCCTATTGATATTCTTTTAGACGCTAAAGCTTATGCTGAAATCATCATGGATGGGTTGTTAAAGGGTTCATCATGCCAACCAATAGCACAGCAAACACAGATGGGTTGGATATTGTCTGGCTCTACGACGAAAACATTCAACTGTTATTTTACCATCAATAATATCGAAGACATTTGCAATTATTGGGAAATGGAAGACATATCGGAACATGAACGTTCATTAACTTTAGAAGAACAATTTTGTGAAGATTATTATATCAAAACGACTAAAAGATTATCAAGTGGAGTGTATGAAGTACGTTTACCCATGAAGAAAGGCTTTGAAAGGCAATTAGGTCACTCGAAACTAAAGGCTGTAGCACAGTTCAAGCAATTAGAGCGAAAGCTAGAAAAAGATCCGCAGCTATGTGAAAAGTACAACCATTTCATGAATGAGTATATTGCAATGAACCATATGAAACCGGCAGTAGAGACTAAATCTCTAGAATGTTATTTACCACATCACGGGGTCCTAAAATTTGACTCTAACACTACAAAATTACGAGCTGTTTTTAATGCATCGGAAAAAACATCGACTGGCTTTAGCTTGAATGACTTAATGGAGTGCGGCCCTAAACTGCAACGTGATATACTGGAATTATTATTAAGTTGGCGTGCTTACAAATACGTATATACAGCAGATTGCGAAAAGATGTATCGTATGATCAAGGTACAAGAGGATGACCAGCAACTCCAGAAGATAATATGGCGGAACGAACAAGGCGCTATACAAGAATTTCAATTATGCACCGTCACATATGGTATGAAAGCTGCACCTTACTTGGCTCTCAGAACGATGCAGCAGTTAGCAAGTGATGACGCTGACGTTTACCCTATAGCAGCTGAGATCTTGAAGAAGAGATTCTATGTTGATGATTTGATATATGGTAGCAACAAGATTGAGGAAGCAAAGCAAGCACAACGCCAATTAATTGATATATTACGAGGAGGCGGTTTCAACTTGAGAAAATGGTCCAGCAATGAACCTAGACTCCTGGAAGATTTATCTAACGATCAAATTAATGTCTCTACTGTTAACTTCAACAACAGCTCATCATCATCAACTAAAGCATTAGGGTTGCGTTGGCATCCATCCTCTGATATTTTTACATTTGACAATAAGATTGAGAATTCGCAAAAGCCCGATACAAAACGCTCCATGCTGTCAAACATATCGAAGCTTTTCGACCCGCTCGGTTGGTTATCTCCGAGTACAATAAAAGCAAAACTGCTATTTCAACGACTTTGGAGTGAGCATACGGAATGGAACCAATTATTGTCACCAGATATTCAACACGAGTGGAGTAAACTAAAGGAAGAATTAAAGAACATAAGTAAAATTAAAATTCCGAGATGGGTCGGCAATACTCAATCTTCAGTACAGCTACACGGCTTCGCAGATGCGTCAGATAAGGCTTATGCGGCCGTAGTTTACATCAAAACCTATAATGAGCATAAGGAAGCCAGGATACATCTCATAGCAGCGAAAACAAAGCTAGCCCCACAGAAGAAACGTATTACATTGCCACGGCTGGAATTATGTGGAGCTGTTTTGTTATCTAAATTGATGCAAAAGGTTATTGTTTCGATGTCATTAACTCAGGGCAAATTACAAATTCATGGCTGGACGGACTCAATGGTTGTCTTGGGCTAGATTCATGGCAATACTGCAAGATGGAAAACATACGTGGCGAACAGAGTGAATGAAATAATTAAGGTCATACCGTCATCCTGCTGGAGGCATACTAAATCAGAGCATAATGCAGCTGACTGTGCCACGCGAGGACTTTCACCATCTCAACTATTATCGTATCCTCTATGGTGGAATGGACCCTCGTGGCTCAAGGAGAACAAAGAGTATCCTCCAGAAAAATATGAAGCTCCGGAATTCGAACTGAAGACCAAACCTCGGATATGTGCTGCAGAGACTAATCATTCACCGTTTATCAGTGAGCTTCTATATAAATACAGCTCAGTTACAAAGGCGACCCGCGTGCTATGTCGAGTGTTACGTTTCATAACTAACGCTCGCGAGCGCGTGCGAAACAATAACAATTTCTATCCAAGTTATATCACTGTGAATGAAATTAAATATGCTACTAAATTAATAATTAAACCAATTCAGTTAGATAACTTTGCGCAAGAGATAGAACAACTAAAGAGAAACGGCAACGTTTCACGGAAAAGCGCAATTAGAAGTTTAAACCCATTTCTTGACAAAGATGACATTCTGAGAATGAAGGGAAGATTGCAACATTCTGCATTACCTGCAACCAGCAAGCAGCCGATTGTACTTCCCTATCATTCACGGTTGACAGACCTGCTTATACTGGACGCTCATCACACTACTTTACATGGTGGAGTTAAACTGACTTTGGCACACATAAGAAACAACTACTGGATTATTAGTGGACAGCGAGCAGTGAAGAAAATTATACGCCGGTGCACCACATGTGTTCGACTCAATACACAAAAGCGAACACAGATCATGGGTGATTTGCCTACCCCTCGAGTGGTACCATCTCGCCCCTTTACACATACGGGGGTGGACTTTACGGGTCATGTTGAGGTGAAAGCAAATAAGGGTAGAGGCATTAAGACCACAAAAGGTTATATAGCTGTCTTTATATGCCTAACTATAAAAGCCGTTCACCTGGAGCTCGTGTCGGACCTCACTGCGTCAGCGTTTTTAGCTGCATTTAAACGTATGTGCGCTCGGCGCGGCACGCCAATACACGTTTACAGTGACAACGGTACAAACTTTGTGGGCGCGTCACGTGTACTTCAAAGGGAATATAAGCAAGCACTCCAAACAATCAACACGGACTTCCTCGAGAATATTAGCCAGCTGGGAGTTACTTGGCATTTTAACGTGGCTGCGTGGAGCAGTGCGGGCGGCATATGGGAAGCCGCTGTTAAAAGTCTAAAGCACCATCTGAAGCGCGTAGTTGGCCATCAAAAGTTTACCTTCGAAGAATATTCAACGCTGCTTACGCAAATAGAGGCTTGTCTCAATTCAAGGCCTCTATGTTCCTTAACTGAAAACCCAGAAGACATAGATTACCTTTCACCCGGCCACTTTCTTATCGGCGGTCCTATTCTGTCTGAACCATTATCGGATATAAATATTGAAAACGTAAAATCAAGGTGGCAACTAACTGAGCAGATATACAAAGAATTTTGGAAGCGGTGGTCTGCAGAATATTTGCATACGTTACAAACACGAAGCAAGTGACATATACCTCAGAAGAATATAGAACTGGACAGCATAGTGGTGATGAAGGAAGATAATCTACCCCCTTCTAACTGGGCCTTAGCAAAGGTCATCGATGTGCACCCCGGCAAGAACGGGTATGTACGCGCTGTTACATTGAAAACTAAACACGGAGTCCTGAAACGGCCTATCACGAAGCTGTGTCCTTTACCAGTACTCCCTGACCAAGATGACAATTGGTTCAGAGCGGACAGTGACCCCGGCGCTACTGGGCATACGTCAAAACGCAGTAGAAGTAAGGCAAATTATTTAATTTGTTTGCTCTTACTTATCATCGCAATTATATCGCCGTCGATGCAGCAAACTTACAAAATAACTCAGTTAGAATCGACTAAAGCGTTATATTTTGATCGAGCAGCCGATTTACAAATTATAGAGAGACATTGGATCGTAATTGTATACTACAACATGTCAACATTCTGGAAAACTCTCTCGCCTCTTTTACATCCATATATCTACGCATACACGCTCGTCGGTTAAGGGTACTCCTAATCTGGCCCATTTTTAATGTATCGCCGATTTGGTCGATAAACCTTCGTCTAGGGCGTCCCTTCCCGACCCCTATTAATAAACACATAAAAACAGTATCTCAAAACGTTGTACTTAGAAATACTGTTCTGTGATTTACACTCAAGTACACACACTTGAGAGTCCAGTTTCGTTTATTAATCTGTGTGGTACTCAGATAATATCGTAAACCTAAACCGCATCTTGAGATATGTTTATTAATAAAATCATAACTTCAAGATTGTACTCAAGTGCGTGTACTTGAGCTGCGTAACGATTATTAATACGGGATTATTAATACCCCATTAAGGGGTATTTTATTTTATTTTATTTGCCCCCTAAACGAGCATACGGCTCACCTGATGGTAAGTGACTACGGCCGCCCATAAACAACTGTAACACCAGGGGAATTGCAGATGCATTGCGGGCCTTTTAAAAAGGAGTAAGCTCTTTTCTTGAAGGTCTCAAAGTCGTATCGGTCCGAAAAAATCGCTGGTGTTAATCGATTTCACAAGAAAGTTGTGCGAGGAAGAAAACATCTTCTAAATCGCACAATGGTGGACCGCCAATCATCAAGGTGGTATGGATGGTATCGCAAGTTTTGTCGCGCTGTGCGATGGTGAAATTGAGCGACTGGAATTAGTCCGAACAATTCCTCAGATCACTCCCCGTGGTAA